CTGGAACAATTCCCACTGTATCAGTAAGTTAGATGTGTCTGGAACAATTCCCACTGTATCAGTAAGTTAGATGTGTCTGGAACAATTCCCACTGTATCAGTAAGTTAGATGTGTCTGGAACAATTCCCACTGTATCAGTAAGTTAGATGTGTCTGGAACAATTCCCACTGTATCAGTAAGTTAGATGTGTCTGGAACAATTCCCACTGTATCAGTAAGTTAGATGTGTCTGGAACAATTCCCACTGTATCAGTAAGTTAGATGTGTCTGGAACAATTCCCACTGTATCAGTAAGTTAGATGTGTCTGGAACAATTCCCACTGTATCAGTAAGTTAGATGTGTCTGGAACAATTCCCACTGTATCAGTAAGTTAGATGTGTCTGGAACAATTCCCACTGTATCAGTAAGTTAGATGTGTCTGGAACAATTCCCACTGTATCAGTAAGTTAGATGTGTCTGGAACAATTCCCACTGTATCAATAAGTTAGATGTGTCTGGAACAATTCCCACTGTATCAATAAGTTAGATGTGTCTGGAACAATTCCCACTGTATCAATAAGTTAGATGTGTCTGGAACAATTCCCACTGTATCAATAAGTTAGATGTGTCTGGAACAATTCCCACTGTATCAGTAAGTTAGATGTGTCTGGAACAATTCCCACTGTATCAGTAAGTTAGATGTGTCTGGAACAATTCCCACTGTATCAATAAGTTAGATGTGTCTGGAACAATTCCCACTGTATCAATAAGTTAGATGTGTCTGGAACAATTCCCACTGTATCAATAAGTTAGATGTGTCTGGAACAATTCCCACTGTATCAGTAAGTTAGATGTGTCTGGAACAATTCCCACTGTATTAATAAATTAGATGTGTCTGGAACAATTCCCACTGTATCAATAAGTTAGATGTGTCTGGAACAATTCCCACTGTATCAATAAGTTAGATGTGTCTGGAACAATTCCCACTGTATCAATAAGTTAGATGTGTCTGGAACAATTCCCACTGTATCAATAAGTTAGATGTGTCTGGAACAATTCCCACTGTATCAATAAGTTAGATATGTCTGGAACAATTCCCACTGTATCAATAAGTTAAATGTGTCTGGAACAATTCCCACTGTATCAGTAAGTTAGATGTGTCTGGAACAATTCTCACTGTATCAATAAGTTAGATGTGTCTGGAACAATTCCCACTGTATCAATAAGTTAGATGTGTCTGGAACAATTCCCACTGTATCAGTAAGATGTGTCTGGAACAATTCCCACTGTATCAATAAGTTAGATGTGTCTGGAACAATTCCCACTGTATCAATAAGTTAGATGTGTCTGGAACAATTCCCACTGTATCAATAAGTTAGATGTGTCTGGAACAATTCCCACTGTATCAATAAATTAGATGTGTCTGGAACAATTCCCTCTGTATCAATAAGTTAGATGTGTCTGGAACAATTCCCACTGTATCAATAAGTTAGATGTGTCTGGAACAATTCCCACTGTATCAATAAGTTAGATGTGTCTGGAACAATTCCCACTGTATCAATAAGTTAGATGTGTCTGGAACAATTCCCACTGTATCAATAAGTTAGATGTGTCTGGAACAATTCCCACTGTATCAATAAGTTAGATGTGTCTGGAACAATTCCCACTGTATCAATAAGTTAGATGTGTCTGGATCAATTCCCACTGTATCAATAAGTTAGATGTGTCTGGAACAATTCCCTCTGTATCAATAAGTTAGATGTGTCTGGAACAATTCCCACTGTATCAATAAGTTAGATGTGTCTGGAACAATTCCCACTGTATCAGTTAGATGTGTCTGGAACAATTCCCACTGTATCAATAAGTTAGATGTGTCTGGAACAATTCCCACTGTATCAGTAAGTTAGATGTGTCTGGAACAATTCCCACTGTATCAATAAGTTAGATGTGTCTGGAACAATTCCCACTGTATCAATAAGTTTGATGTGTCTGGAACAATTCCCTCTGTATCAATAAGTTAGATGTGTCTGGAACAATTCCCACTGTATCAATAAGTTAGATGTGTCTGGAACAATTCCCACTGTATCAATAAGTTAGATGTGTCTGGAACAATTCCCACTGTATCAATAAGTTAGATGTGTCTGGAACAATTCCCACTGTATCAATAAGTTAGATGTGTCTGGAACAATTCCCACTGTATCAATAAGTTAGATGTGTCTGGAACAATTCCCACTGTATCAATAAGTTAGATGTGTCTGGAACAATTCCCTCTGTATCAATAAGTTAGATGTGTCTGGAACAATTCCCACTGTATCAATAAGTTAGATGTGTCTGGAACAATTCCCACTGTATCAATAAGTTAGATGTGTCTGGAACAATTCCCACTGTATCAATAAGTTAGATGTGTCTGGAACAATTCCCACTGTATCAATAAGTTAGATGTGTCTGGAACAATTCCCACTGTATCAATAAGTTAGATGTCTGGAACAATTCCCTCTGTATCAATAAGTTAGATGTGTCTGGAACAATTCCCACTGTATCAATAAGTTAGATGTGTCTGGAACAATTCCCACTGTATCAATAAGTTAGATGTGTCTGGAACAATTCCCACTGTATCAATAAGTTAGATGTGTCTGGAACAATTCCCACTGTATCAATAAGTTAGATGTGTCTGGAACAATTCCCACTGTATCAATAAGTTAGATGTGTCTGGAACAATTCCCTCTGTATCAATAAGTTAGATGTGTCTGGAACAATTCCCACTGTATCAATAAGTTAGATGTGTCTGGAACAATTCCCACTGTATCAATAAGTTAGATGTGTCTGGAACAATTCCCACTGTATCAATAAGTTAGATGTGTCTGGAACAATTCCCTCTCTATCAATAAGTTAGATGTGTCTGGAACAATTCCCACTGTATCAATAAGTTAGATGTGTCTGGAACAATTCCCACTGTATCAGTTAGATGTATCTGGAACAATTCCCACTGTATCAATAAGTTAGATGTGTCTGGAACAATTCCCACTGTATCAATAAGTTAGATGTGTCTGGAACAATTCCCACTGTATCAATAAGTTAGATGTGTCTGGAACAATTCCCACTGTATCAATAAGTTAGATGCGTCTGGAACAATTCCCTCTGTATAATTAAGTTAGATGTGTCTGGAACAATTCCCACTGTATCAATAAGTTAGATGTGTCTGGAACAATTCCCACTGTATCAATAAGTTAGATGTGTCTGGAACAATTCCCACTGTATCAATAAGTTAGATGTGTCTGGAACAATTCCCACTGTATCAATAAGTTAGATGTCTGGAACAATTCCCACTGTATCAATAAGTTAGATGTCTGGAACAATTCCCTCTGTATCAATAAGTTAGATGTGTCTGGAACAATTCCCACTGTATCAATAAGTTAGATGTGTCTGGAACAATTCCCACTGTATCAATAAGTTAGATGTGTCTGGAACAATTCCCACTGTATCAATAAGTTAGATGTGTCTGGAACAATTCCCACTGTATCAATAAGTTAGATGTGTCTGGAACAATTCCCACTGTATCAATAAGTTAGATGTGTCTGGAACAATTCCCTCTGTATCAATAAGTTAGATGTGTCTGGAACAATTCCCACTGTATCAATAAGTTAGATGTGTCTGGAACAATTCCCACTGTATCAATAAGTTAGATGTGTCTGGAACAATTCCCACTGTATCAATAAGTTAGATGTGTCTGGAACAATTCCCACTGTATCAATAAGTTAGATGTGTCTGGAACAATTCCCACTGTATCAATAAGTTAGATGTGTCTGGAACAATTCCCACTGTATCAATAAGTTAGATGTGTCTGGAACAATTCCCACTGTATCAATAAGTTAGATGTGTCTGGAACAATTCCCACTGTATCAATAAGTTAGATGTGTCTGGAACAATTCCCACTGTATCAATAAGTTAGATGTGTCTGGAACAATTCCCACTGTATCAGTAAGTTAGATGTGTCTGGAACAATTCCCACTGTATCAATAAGTTAGATGTGTCTGGAACAATTCCCACTGTATCAATAAGTTAGATGTGTCTGGAACAATTCCCACTGTATCAATAAGTTAGATGTGTCTGGAACAATTCCCACTGTATCAATAAGTTAGATGTGTCTGGAACAATTCCCACTGTATCAATAAGTTAGATGTGTCTGGAACAATTCCCACTGTATCAATAAGTTAGATGTGTCTGGAACAATTCCCACTGTATCAATAAATTAGATGTGTCTGGAGCAATTCCCACTGTATCAATAAGTTAGATGTGTCTGGAACAATTCCCACTGTATCAATAAGTTAGATGTGTCTGGAACAATTCCCACTGTATCAATAAGTTAGATGTGTCTGGAACAATTCCCACTGTATCAATAAATTAGATGTGTCTGGAGCAATTCCCACTGTATCAATAAGTTAGATGTGTCTGGAACAATTCCCACTGTATCAATAAGTTAGATGTGTCTGGAACAATTCCCACTGTATCAATAAGTTAGATGTGTCTGGAACAATTCCCACTGTATCAATGAGTTAGATGTGTCTGGAACAATTCCCACTGTATCAATAAGTTAGATGTGTCTGGAACAATTCCCACTGTATCAATAAGTTAGATGTGTCTGGAACAATTCCCACTGTATCAATAAGTTAGATGTGTCTGGAACAATTCCCACTGTATCAATAAGTTAGATGTAATTGTTTAAATGAAGGTTTGATTCCTCCTGGACTTGACGGTTCAAGATGGACATTGTTTGAAGGTTAATCTCTAATTTGTGGATTCGTTGTGAATTGTATTTTGTTTACTATCTAAAAGAATATTGATTAGTGCTTAGTGGTCTCAATAGATTAATAATGTACTGTATGTGGCGCCTCCGAAAAAAAATAGATGTCAGTTGCTCAGTATTTGTTTATTTACATAGTTACGTCAAGAGACGTTTCTGATGTCACTTCTGTGCCCAGGAAAATTTTGTAGAACGTAAATATTTTTTTCCTTCATTTCAGGTCCGGAGGAGGAGAAAGTGCTGGGGTCACTTCCGCTGCCTTCGTTTAAGATCAGCCCGGTGGACTCTGAGGACCGGGTGTACCGCAAGCATGCCTTCAAGGCTGAGCACCAGAACATGCGGACCTATTACTTCGCTGCTGAGACCAAGGACCAGATGGCTCACTGGATGAACGCCCTCTCTCTTGCCTCCATTCTCCAGAAAGATACCAGGTACCACTCTTTTTTTTTTTTTACACAGGGTTTGACAAGGTTAAGGATCCCTAGCTTTATTGACAAGCTATTTACAGGTTAAGGATTCCTAACTTTATTGGCAAGCTAAGAGCTGTTACCTACATCAGCTCATTTGAAAGCATTTTTATTGTTATGAGACATACATGTAGGGAACAGGATGAAGTTGGAGCCATCGTGGGCCAGCATTTTCATTTGATCAACTGATTTTATCTCGTTGACATCATTATGCTGTACGAATGTGTTTCATACACGAGTTATCCTGGGTATATATGATCTCAGATGGAGTGATGTTCTGGAGAAGGGTACAGCCAGAGTGAAGTTGCTGCTTTCTGCCCGTCTTGTGGCATAAAAGCTTGTTTCACGCTATCCTCGAAGTGGATCCAAGTGTGGTACTTTGACAATATTGGCCTTGCACATAACAGTAAGGCCACCCACATCCCTCCTGTGTTGAAGGCTCTGCTGAAATGCCATATCTATCCAGGGTGGGTCCAGGCGAGAGATGAGACGTCTTGCTCTGTTCTCTACTCTGTCAAGGAGTCGCAAATGAGAGGGGGGGGGGGCAGGCAAACCAAGAAAGTGGAGCATACTCAAGGTGTGAGCGCACTTGTGCCTCTTACAGAATCTTGCAACCCCTACTGTCAAGCAGATGCGAGATACGACGAAGTGCTGTAAGCTTCCTGGCTGCCTTGTTTGCAAGATTTACAACATGGTTCTTCATGGTTAGTTTGGAGTCAAATTTCACCCCAAGGATATTAACTTCTTCTCCAGGTCCCAACACCCTCCCATTCATCCTTACTACTGCACCAGCATTACCATCATGGTGCCTAGAGACGATCATCATTTGCGTTTTCACAGGTGCAAATGTTACTTGCCATCTATTTCTCCAAGCTGATATAGCTCTTAGCTACATCAGCTTAGAGCAGCTGGCATTTCTTCTCTTGGATAAGTGAATGTCAGTGTACAGTCGTCTGCCTATGCATGTGATTCTGGGATGAGATGAAGAAGGTCCTTGAACTAGACATTCCATAACAATGGTCCCAGCACGCTTCCTTGTGGAACACTTGCCCCAATAGGATGTCTTGCTGATTCCATTCCATTGGGAACTACACTTAGAGATCTACCATGAAGGTAATCACTGAGGAGACGTAGTGTAGAGCCTGCAATTCCCAGTGCTTGAAGTTTTGCTAAGAGGCCCTGGTGCCACACCCGGTGGAAAGCGCCAGCAATGTCTCTCTCTCTCTCTCTCTCTCTCTTTCTCCTCTGCAACATTTTAGTATATCTATCTGCATCACCATCAGTACCAAGGTGCCAGGTACCATTCCTTTCTCTTGAACATCATAATGTAGCTGTCAATGTCACTTTCAGTACCACGGTACCAGATACCTCTCTCCTCCCTACCATTGATCCGCCCTGGACCATCATATAGTTGTAAACACCTCTGCCCATTATTATGGGCAGAGGTGTTCTCTGAAGTGTCCTCTCCAAGTTCTGAGTTAGTCTGGAACGATTCTCAGTATTTTAAGTTGTATAAAAATGCTGTAGAGTGAAGGGAAATTTGGGTAAAGTCGGCACTACTGTTTTTGATGATAATGTGGCGAGGCTGTAAAGGTAAGTGTGATGGTGAGGGAGGAGGGAAGGGGAGCATTGACCTAGACTAGGGTAGGATGCAAGGTCACTTCTTGGGGAGGCGTAGAGGACTGGGCAAGGAGGACGGGGGGACTGGAGGAGGAGGGGGGGGCTGAGAATAGAGGGAGGGGGGACATGGGGAGAATGGAGGAGAACCTTGGGTAGGAGGGAGGTAACTTGACTCGACCTGGAACCTTACCAAGAACTGGATTCCGTGGGAGAGTATCACTACACCAGCAGCTACTGTTTACTCCCCCCGGCGATGGTGCTCTCTCAGAAGTGAACTGGGCACTCACGGGTTGAGTTTTAAACTTGAGTTTCTACAGTGATACACTGTCTGGGAAGCTTTGGTTAGGTATTTGAACTGCAGATCCGACCAGCTTTTAATTTTTCTGCGCTGGTGTACTGAAGCTAAAGCAAGGCTCTTGTAATGGGTATTAATAAAGGGGACTTTAATAAGGTCTTGAGGATGTCTCTCCAAGAGAGAACCCGCAGTAATGGATTTAAATTGGACAAGTTTAGATTTCGAAAGGACATAGGAAAGTATTGGTTTGGAAATAGGATAGTTGATGAGTGGAACAGTCTACCTAGTTGGGTTATTGAGGCTAGGACTTTGGGTAGTTTCAAATTTATGTTGGATAAATATATGAGTGAGAGGGGTTTGATTTGAGTGCGACTTGCAAATGAGTGGATAGAGTTATCAGAGCTTATTTCTTGGGTAGCATTGAAAATTGGGTTGGGTAAATGTTTTGTTAGTGGGATGGATTGTAAAGGACCTGCCTAGTATGGGTCAACAGGCCTGCTGCAGTAATCCTCCTTTCTTATGTTCTTATAAGAACATAAGAATGTAGGAACACTGCAGAAAGCCTACTGGCCCATACGAGGCAGGTCCTTATTATGTTCTTAAATGATTCAGAGAACCGACAAGTTGACAAATTAGACTCATGTACAACACTTGGGTTTCTTTATTGTGGAAACGTTTCGCCACACAGTGGCTTCATCAGTCCAGTACAAAGAAGGTGAAGATCAGAAGGAATTTGAGGTAATCTTTTCAAGATTGATGAACATAAGAACATAAGAAAGGAGGAACATTGCAGCAGGCCTGTTGGCCCATACTAGGCAGGTCCTTTACAATTACATCGACTCCAGGCTGAGGGACTGATTACCTCCAACTCCTTCTGATCTTCATTTTCCTTTGTATTGGACAGATGAAGCCACTTTGTGGCAAAACATTTCCACAATAAACATATGCAAACAGTACACATGTGTCTAATTTATCAAGGTTCCTGCAGTTTGGCAGGTTCAAGTACCTTCTTGAGTAACTTTATATAGACTATTTCCAGATTTGGTTTCTGTGCTGTAACTTGAGATCGACTTCAACCTTTCACACTACTAAGTTTGGGTAGCTTTAAAAAATTGTTTAGAAAAGCTCACGAGTGTAAATAATTGGATGTAAAACCCTCACATGGGCCAGTAAACCTATCGCATTTTTATCTTTTCTTGTGTTGCTTGTGTCGGCTGTGTTGACACAGCGGTTTTATTGATTTAGTAACTAATTGTCTTTATGTTATATAGTTTCTTCGATCATTTTGAAGTTTGGAGTTTATAATCTTTTTGTGAGGAAATGGTATGGTGATACCGACAAGATGTGGAAAAAGACACTTATGTACAGTTCAGGACATTTATTAAAGGAAACGTTTCGCCACGAGTGGCTTCTTCAGTCCTAATACAGAGAAAACTAAGAAAACACACATATATATAGTGGCGGGAGTCAGGTGAGGTGATGCGTGGGTAGAGGTGGTAGTAGTAGTAGTAGTAGTAGTAGTAGTAGTAGTAGTAGTAGTAGTAGTAGTAGTAGTAGTAGTAGTAGTAGTAGTAGTAGTAATGGAACTAGCCTCACCTCCTTAGTTCCATTACTACTACTACTACTACTACTACTACTACTACTACTACTACTACTACTACTACTACTACTACTACTACTACTACTACTACTACTACCACCACCTCTACCCACGCATCACCTCACCTGACTCCCGCCACTATATATATGTGTGTTTTCTTAGTTTTCTCTGTATTAGGACTGAAGAAGCCACTCGTGGCGAAACGTTTCCTTTAATAAATGTCCTGAACTGTACATAAGTGTCTTTTTCCACAATCTTTTTGTGGTCTGTGTATTTATTAGGCATCCCCCCCCCCCCCCACAAAAGGTACCTTCCAATGGATGACCTTTTTTTTTTATTTCCTTATTGCAAAGTTTTAGTTTATAACTTAACGCCTCATCCGATCAGCTTCAAATTTTTATCGCTGGTGTGTTATAAATAAGGAAAGGTTCATGTTGGTAGGTAAGACACATAGGCAACAGTTAGCCTATGTGTCTTACCTACCAACCTGTCGGTATTGTATACCATTTTGATGTTCAAAGGTTCATGTTACTCTTGGCATGTACAGACGCCCTCTGGGGCCAGTGGTGTTGTTTTCTTGAAAAATGACTATTAGTGACATTAGTGCGCCTTGGTGGAAGATTTAATTTTGAATGAGATTTGTAGCCTCTAATTTGCCAAATTTTATTAATCCAATTTTTGTAGTGTCATACTTGGTCTTCTGAACCACTGAGAAATTTGAGTCAGGCTGAAAATTTAGTCACGGAGGGTTTTGAAACCCCTTTTTTCCTAAAGGTCTTTAAAATGTGGAGGTTTTCGAGACCTTTTATCCTAAAGGGTTTTAAAATCTGAAGGTTTTGAGAATATTTTTCCAAGCAGTATAGAAAATGTTAGGATTGTTTTTGAGACCTTTTCTAAAAATGGTCTGTTACGTTGGCATGTCTTATTACTTTGATAGTAAGGTTCTCACTACATGTTCTAGTGTGGGGTAGCTTTTTACTTAATGGCCTTATCTGTTTAGGGGTAATACATCATGGCTGATCATCTTGAGTGTCTCTGATATCCTCTCACCAGTCCTCTTCACAGATTATGTAAACTACTACTATAAAAATATAACTGTATTCTAAATAGATATGTACAGAATATACAATTACAGCCTCACATTTTCAAAACAAAAATCTACACACTCCATAGCTGTTCTCCCACATGGTGCATCTCAGCAACTTTGTCCTTCTCTCTTCTTGACTAACTCTGGGCTAACCAGTGTTTTGACACACTTTAGTCACCCTGGGTATGGTGGCCACAACTTAAGTTATAAAAACTCACCCCTGGAGCACACATAATGCCCCAAAAAGATAGAAAAAAGGTCCCAGAGGTCCTGCCACCTCCATGTCAACAAAAGAAGAGAGAGGGGGAGGGAGGGAGGAGCCTAGCTAAACTCCTCCCACCAAAAAAGACTGTTGCCAAGCA